GACACAAGTAACCAAGGCAGCTAATAAGAGCTCGGTCCTGGCTGCATCTATGAAAGATACTGCAGAAGCTCAACCGCGCATGTCGGCGCAGATCGATGCAATGCAAAAAGAGCTCGCTGCATTTCTGCTGAGTAACTAACTGGTTGACAAGCTCACTCTCGTCACCGCACTCGTTCATTTTCTCTGGTACCCACTTGTAGAGTACGTCGAACTCCTTCCTATGACTGGAGATATATATATATGAATGTTCGCGTCGGGGTAACGGATTAGCACATCGTTCATTTGACTTGTTGGCGAATGTCGCTACCTGCAAAAATGGATAAAATATGGACTCACTGCGGCAATTTTATAAAAGTTAATGCGTCCTCAGTGTTATCAGCCTGATGTACAAGCTGATAACCTTTCATAACGAATAGCATTAAATTGAATCAATTCTAATGTTGTACGTACCTTGTGTATGTTTCTAGATTCACAACGACTCCTGTATTATCTTATTACCTCATTAACTTACGTTTAAAAAAACGTTGCTGTCGATAAGAGATGACCAGCACCTTGAATTCAGGTACGAACGTTGCGCCCGCCAAGCCGTGGGAGAATCGACCGATTGCTGCTGCTCAAACAGGTACATACCATCATTCTTACTTTATTTATCTCTTTCGAATGACCAACATTCTCTTCATTATACGATAGATGGCAATGCATCTGTTGGTGTTACTCCTCAGTCTACAGTCTCCATGGCTCCTTCTCGATTACTTCCTAGTAACAATAACATCGCAGCTCCATCTACTTCGACTTTTGGAGTCGCAACGGCGTCTCCGTATGGAGCTTCAGGGTACGGGGCTACGGGGTACGGAGGAGGTTATGGTGGAGGTTAAGGAGGGATGAGCTCCTACGGTGGACTTGGAGGGCAGGGGGGTGGCTATGGAGGTGGTTATGGCAGTGGCTATGGCAGTGGTTACGGAGGCATGTCGTCGAGAATGGGGTACATCAATATGGGCATGATGGACCCGAATGCTGGAAGTCTCGGTTGGCTCTCGAGTTTTAACCAAATTGTCAGCTCCATTGGCCATATTACGGAACTATTGGGGATGAACGCAGAGGCACTCAACTTTTGCATTGGTGAGAGCTATAACCTTTGTATCTTTGACTGTCAAGAGGTTTTGTAGTGTGCTAACAAGTGAGTTATGAACTGCAGGGAGCTTTGTCCATTTTCTGGAGCGGATAGGAGCCATGTGCGCTGGCACTGCAGTGGCACCTCGTCCGGTCTTCCCGCCTGGCCACCCACGACATGGCGAACCACCAGTGACTGAAGAGGAAAAGAAGAGTCGGAAACGCCGAGTACGCATTTTTCAATTCATGGTGAGCATGACGGCACTTGCGCTGCTGTCTAAAGGATTGCGGTGGCTTGCGAGGCTACGGCTCAAGACGCCGCATAAGCTACTGGTCGCGCCACCATCCGACGGGATTGGCCAAGATCTGGAGCATATTTTCCAGCGTACAGTGGGCGTCACACGCTTGTAAGCAGGTATGACAGATTCGGTAGTTGTAGACAAATCCTGTTTGCCGGGGTTCAAGCAAGACGCAGCAAGGTTTGGGCTGATTTATATATATTGTCAAGCTCATGGTCAGATCGCGCGTGTTTCTGCCGCTTATCTTTCGCTTGCTTGGGTGCAGTCTATATCTATCGCTGAACGGAGGAATCAGCGCCACTTCGTCTCCGTCCACCAGTGCCACGTCGTCCTCCGAGTACTCGAGGTTATGCGCTAGTGTGATGCTCTCGATGGTGGATGCAGCGTGCGGGTACTTGTCGACCAGCAGGCGCCGTAATGAGGCCAGCGTGGCGCTGCTCCTGTCCGAAAGCTGCAGCTTCTCCTCACGCAGACCAATTTCCTCCCGCGTCGACGCGAAGTACAGCACTTTAATCTCCATCCTTGCTAAAAGGACGCGTTATGCGTAGTTGGCAATTGGTGTAGAGCACATGGAAGTGACAGATCGAGGAGATCTTTAAGAGGCGCACGGAGGTTGATTGAAAAAAAAATCAAGGCAGTGGATGAAGCTGCGGCAGCCATAAGCTGAGACGTTTCTGAGCTAGGTGGTCCTAGCGACAACTTACATTACGGCTGAAATTGACCAGCGAGAGGATAATGTATTGGCAAGGAGTGTAGTCTATGTGGCAGCGGTGGAAGCGAAATGCAGAGCTCCAGGAAAGAAAGTGCCCTCGTCGTTTTATATGTTACGGGCTCAACGTTACACGTACCCGTTAAGTATGCGATACTTAACGGGCAGGTCTAAAAACGTACGCAAGTACCTGTCGCTCGGGTGAGACACACCATGTGTCGCTCGGGTAAGACAAACCATGTGTCACACCCTTGCGTATGTGATATACACTATGTGTATTCACATTGATGGGGATGACGCCCAGCTGAGACTAGGCGTCATCAATTGACGTCAGTCAGTTACGTCATTGAGCGAGCTTAAATATATTTATGCTCGCACTTTGGGATGCGCATCTAAAGAGATGGCACCCATCATTACATATATTTCCAATTAGTAGTTAGATTTATATTTAGTTAAATTCTATTAAATATATAATAGTCTTGAATTTGCTAAATCAAAAGCACCGCGCACGAGAAGCTGTAAAAAGCTTCTGCGTGACGCGATGTCTTCTTGTTAGAAAGTTCATTGCACTCTCGCTTAGGCGAGAGGCAACTGGTAGTACGACTGCTTAAGCAGTCGACCAACCACACAACCACCCTCGCACTCGAAGGTAAGACGGTCTAACCGCTTCCTCGCTTGTGCATAAGGTGTGTGCTCGTAGTACGTGGCAGCTTCGTAGAAGTGCCCGTCTACACTTGGTAGCACTAGGAGTCCTTCCCACGACCCATCTCTTTAAGCGTGCGTGTGGTGTAGTGCTAATTTTGTGATGTGGAGGTCCCGGAATCCAGTTGGATTCGGAGTATAGGCCGTGGGTCAGGGACAGGGGACCAGAGAGACAGGGGCCTCGAAGGGGAGCGGCCGTTGGTGGAGAACAATCCGCAGGACCCACGGCAGAAAATCAGCATCAAGGTACCGGTTAACCGGTACCAAAGGGAGTTGATCATGGCTCCTCATTGATCGACCCGGCCCCTCGTTGGTAGACCCGGGTCCCTCATCGGTCGACCTGGGTCCCTCGTTGGTAGACCCGGTCCCTCGTCGGTCGACTTGGTCCCTCGTTGGTCGACCCGATCCCTCAATGGTTGACCTGGGTCCCTCATTCGTCGACGCGGTCCCTCATTGGTCGACCTCGGCCCCTCGGGGTTCAGCGACTCCGGACCAGTTAATACAAGGATCAGACCAGTCGACGCAAGGAATCAGAGCTTCTGGCAAGCATAGAGTAAAGGAGTTAAAAGGATAGGACTATATTAAATACTACTCAATTTGCGATCTACGTGGCAAGTCTTCGTCGCGCTGTAAAGGAACTCTAGTCTGGCCTTACGCCTGTTCCGGGAAGGGATATATTTTGGCCCCCCGTCGAAGACAGTTGTGTAGCGAAGTTCAAGGGCGAATAGAGCTCCAGGATATATTTGGCCTGTGAGCTCGTTCGAGTAACAACACCCCCAAGACCCGCTATCGGAAGCGGTCTCCCTCACCTCAAGGTCCGGGAGCAACGTAAAGGTCAGGTGGTTAATACCCCTGAAACAGAAGGAAAAGGCCAGGGACGACAAGTGCCCCTGAAGAATTTGGCTCTAAGTCCACTCTCGACAAGGTCGATCGAGTGGCCACCTACCGGCCCACCGAGTGAAGCATATCCACTCGAGGCCCCCCAGGTCTACCTCCCTTAAGGCAGACATCTACATCGTCACCAAGTCCTCCGAAGAGTGCAACCCGTCAGCCGACGGGTACACAAGGTGAGAGAAGGTCCATACGCGACATCGGGGTACCCCCTCCGACAGTCGGCAGTCCGGCACAGTGAGTGGTTTGGGGTCTCATCATACAATTTTGAGAACCCACTCCAGCTGTTTGCCTCGGACGCGTTTCTACGCTGTCCGAGCACAAACGCTTCAAATATTCTTCAACTAAGCAACATGTTGCTCAGGAGGACAATTGAAGAGTTTGGCCAGGGCTTGTTCACCAATTGCCTGCGCTAAATGCTATTCCAACTCGTATGATGTTGGGAGAGATGAGGAACCCTCCCCCAAGTTACGTCGAGGAATATCCGTATCCACACGCATGTGGTGGAGTGGGTTCTCAAAATTGTATGATGAGACCCCAAACCACTCACTGTGCCGGACTGCCGACTGTCGGAGGGGGTACCCCGATGTCGCGTATGGACCTTCTCTCACCTTGTGTACCCGTCGGCTGACGGGTTGCACTCTTCGGAGGACTTGGTGACGATGTAGATGTCTGCCTTAAGGGAGGTAGACCTGGGGGGCCTCGAGTGGATATGCTTCACTCGGTGGGCCGGTAGGTGGCCACTCGATCGACCTTGTCGAGAGTGGACTTAGAGCCAAATTCTTCAGGGGCACTTGTCGTCCCTGGCCTTTTCCTTCTGTTTCAGGGGTATTAACCACCTGACCTTTACGTTGCTCCCGGACCTTGAGGTGAGGGAGACCGCTTCCGATAGCGGGTCTTGGGGGTGTTGTTACTCGAACGAGCTCACAGGCCAAATATATCCTGGAGCTCTATTCGCCCTTGAACTTCGCTACACAACTGTCTTCGACGGGGGGCCAAAATATATCCCTTCCCGGAACAGGCGTAAGGCCAGACTAGAGTTCCTTTACAGCGCGACGAAGACTTGCCAAGTAGATCTCAAATTAAGTAGTACTTTTTAATATAGTCCTATTCTTTAACTCCTTTACTCTATCCTTGCCTGAAGCTCTGATTCCTTGCGTCGATTGGTCTGATCCTTGTGTTGACTGGTCAGGAGTGGCTAAACGACGAGGGACCCAGGCCAACCGATGAGGGACCGGGTCTACCGACGAGGAATTGGGTCTATCGATGAGGGATCGAGGTCGACCGACGAGAGACCCAGGTCTACCGATGAGGGACCGGGTCTACCGACGAGGCGCCGAGGTCAACCGATGAAGGACTTAGGTCTACCGATGAGGGACCTGGTAGACCATTGAGGGACCAATTCTACCCAGGTCGACCGAATAGGGATCGGGTCTACCAATGAGGGACCGGATCTACCAATGAAGGACCAAGTCGACCAATGAGGGACCGGATCCACGAATGAGGGGCCGGGCCTTCCAAAAGAGCCATGGTCGACTCCCTTCATTACCGGTTTAACGGTACCCTGGTAATGACCTCTCCTTTGATTGAATTTCACATTCTCAGCCAATGGCCTCTTCACTCTGAGGTTCCCTTTCTCTCCGGTCTCTTCTCTCTGGTGCGTGGTCTTTCTGGTCCATGACCCCTTATCTCCTTAATCCGACCGGTCCCTCGGTTCTTCACAATTTAGGAAAGCACTTCACCACATTGGCGCTCGCCCAGACTTGCATTGCTCGCTGCGCGTCCGTCTCCATCCTTCTCGCGTGATCTTGAGCCGCCGCGTCCTCCGAGCTAGAATACGGTGCGCGTACTGGTGGTGCTGCTTGCGGTGCCCTCCACTTTGGCTGCGCCGCATGTTGACCTGCTCCATGATTTAGCATGCTCGCATGGCCTTGTCCAGTACTTGGACGCACCGGTGAATGTCCGAGTGCATCGATATGCAACGGAGCACCGCGCGCCCGTTGGCAAGCGCAGAGTGAAACATTCCTGACTCAATCGCTCCCATCATCCGCTCTTCTTCGTCGAGCTTCTGCTGAGAGATCTCCATCTGCGCCATGCGCGCTTGGAGGTCGACGAGGGTCGCGAGTATCCGCGTGTCGACGTCGTCGCCCCTTTTGTGGGCCGTCTGTGCGCCTTGAACTACCGCTGGAGACGCTGCGGCCCTTTCGTGGCCGTCGTCGAATCTGACTGGCGTTGGTGCGGTTGGCCCGCCGTCGGAGCTAGTTGTTGGGGTCATAACCTATTAGAGCAGATGCGTATTTCTCACTAGGTGATTTATTAAATACTAACATATATTTGGTCCTTAGTTCGCCAACAAGGGCTACATCTAAGCCACTCCTATATTAACTATACCATACTCAGCTGACAGCGCGCCCATTATCAACCGTCATCATGTCCGTAATCCTGCGTCTATCCAACAGGCGCTCAGCGGTGCAATAGTGTAACTTATATTCAACATGTCCATCCTTAAAAATTCGTCCAAGGCTTGACTAGCATTAAGCTAGCTCAAGCCTTCCGGGAGGGCGTTACCCAAACTCGACCTGGATTGTCATGTGTATAGTACGGCGATATCGGTTGTCAAACCAGAATTGATATGGTACGATATTTCCTATAATCAGTCATAAGCCCACACTTTAAACCTCCTTACAAAAAGTATCAATTTATATCATTTATGCAATATTTTTGGCTTACAAGCGTGGCGTAAGCTTTCCGGCGTGTATTTCCGTTTTAAAACGTTTCTTTTACATAGCGGTCTTACTGTAGTTCTACTCGTTTGCGAACCCTTTCTTCGTAAAATGAGTCTAGATTCAATATTTATCGTACATCGCGGTGTACACCACCACCGTGTCATATTACCCATCAGCTTTGCACATAGCAAAATACAGAAGTACATAAATTTTGTACAGTATTCTGCAAAAAAGCACCGACTGTGTAAAAATGACTACACATTCCACTTTAAACAGTTACATATGTAATTTTTATGGCTACTTGGAAGGGTTAATGAGTAATATTAGATAGTTTATAAAGCACTAGTTTGTAAAACTGCAAAGTGGGTATATTTTTCAGGACTTAGTTCGCCCGTGCTACCTCTACTCCCAATTGTTCTAAAGTCTATTAGAACCTTCGACATTGACGTCATCAAAAAATGGTGTTACTGCCGCCGAACAAGTATAATGGTCACTTACCAATTTCCTCTGCTGGAATAATCTAGCTCTCAAGTGCCTCTTGCAAAATTTTAATTTTCGGCCCTTTCTTGTAATAATCCATATTCGAGGTAACAATGGATGCAAGCTCTTCCTTAATTTCATCTTCGAGCTTAGCACCCCAGGTCTTGGACAGGTTAAAAAATCTCGAGCCATTGCCCCATCTTGTCCCATCTAAATAATATCGTTTATCAAATTTTCGTCTTTAAAATGTGATCGAATGAAAAAATACATGGTCTTGAAATCTTCAGCTTTAGCATTGTACGTATTTATCAAACGTTTCAACTCTTGAAGGCTTTCGTGATATTGGAGAAGTGAAGACAAACTTTCGTGTTTACTTAAATGATCCAAAATTGATTTGTGTGTGTCACCGACCGTCGTTGATGAACTCCCTTTAAAGAAGTTTAATAGCTTAGGTGCCCGTTCTTCGCCATCGTCATCAACTAAAGCGTTGGTGTTGACAATGGCGACCGCTGCAACAAGCAGCACGGTGCAATATAGACGCATCTGGTAGAACGTGGGCACTTGTGGATGAATTGTGAAATGAGTTCTGGTGAACGAACAGGATTGAGTCATTCCTCTTCACAGCCTTGGTGAAGTAGTAAAGAGCCAGCCATATGCAATATTGTCCATCTCTGAGAAAATTTATACAAGTCGCGGCTATATCAAGCGGAGGCAGCCAGTTTTCGTTAAAATGTAGTCGCGAAAAAGGGCTTTTATCTTTATACTAGAGGCATCACAGGTAATTATGATCTTAACTAAGGAATAGTATTAGGAGGCACTGATGGCTGCTCGCGTTGCTTATAGTGCCGGACCGCATCAGCTTATTATTAACGTAGACTCGGTCAAACATTTAAGTAATTCCTTGCAAGTCGCCTTTACCCGCAAAGCATTTTAGTATTCACCGATGTTAAAGTCGCATGGTTCTTCACGAGAACACAGGCGACAAAAATATGCGGTGTCAAGGTTGAACCTGGTCAAAGTACTGTCTCACATCTTTTTTATGTACCTACATTTTTTCTCCTTTTTGTGGCTAAAATGGTGCTAAGCAAGATCTCCAACTATAACCACTTTTTCGTTTGTAAGCACCACATATCTGTTGTATAGTGCCTCCGGACAGACAACTATACGACCGCCCTATATAAGAGACATTATACCTGTAAACTTTTTTATGCTCGGGTCATGTCGTCAAATGGCAAGCCTATCCTATGGTGTCTCTGTTGTACCCCACATGAAATCCAGTTCGGGATGTGTCGTTAAACATAGACTACATGGTTACTTACGCCGTGTCGTATTATTGTGGGCAATTCATGGCCCTAGTTAATATTGCTGAGTACAGACTTGTAAGCGATCGATCGAGCATTTCCATTAAGCAGATGTTTTCCATCAAGCTATATGGTATTCTCACTATAAACATGAAATTTCCGATAGTACGACTTGTGTTTAACAATGTAACGACGCCTCACTTCCAATTTTGGTTTGTAAAGGCCTTCAAAGAGCCGGCGTACCAGTTCTCTTACCTTGGGCGGGAAGCCCTCCACCATGACCCCTAATTTCTGCTGCGCGCGTGAAGGGAGGATGCGCAGCGTTTAACTTAACGGACAGCAAAAGGCACGAAGTCCTGAGGTGTGAGGCTCCGATTGAGAATTGGAGCTGCATGTCAAACCGATCAGACAGCCTGGCCAATCTGTAACAGCCGGTATATTACCCGGCCTTTCCTTTAAGACGGCACCTGCTCCTTGCATGTGATCAGGTTTGGCCAAACAATTTTTTGTCCATAAAAAGATCTTTGTACTGTCTATACGCTCGCTAGATGTAAGAGACATTTCATTTGCAAGCTTCTCTATGCTCGGATCATTCGGTCAAATGGCAATCTAATCTGGATTTTTATCGCGTACAACAGAGCAACCATAGACTACCTTTGGTCACTCTGTCGTATCCCACGAAAATCCAGTACGGGTTGTGTTGTCAACCTTCACAGAAATAGGAACAGATAAAGACAAGAAGCTGTGGCTTAGCGATGGAAATGATAAGAGCAATAGCGGATGCCTATGGGCTTTCGAATATCTGCAGCTAGCTCACCACGCAGGGACGACGAGGCAGATAAAGCGATTCACAATTATACTTTGCCGCCACCAATGGTGAGACATCGCTTATAAAGTGCGCACGCAATGACTACAACGTCGGCAAATCTAATCTTGACGATCTAACCGGCTTAATAACTCACTGTACAAAGAGCTTGTCGCATCCAGCTTGAAATGCCGGTGTTTATTGGCTTTTGGTATCGATATTTGAAGAAGTGTTGATGGATCTTTCATGTAAATAGTTCCAGGTGCATTGTCGCATTGGTAGAAGAAGCATCTTTTTGATGCATCCTAATGGAAGCCCACAACTACGTCAACTGAAATCATTTCCGTCGATCAGGAAAAATGGCGTTTCTCCTATAGGTGGGAAGGTCCCTATCTTAGTCTGGACGGCACAATTTGAATAATTTTACGCAGGATTAAAGACGTTGGACCTCGGGATTTGACTTGAAGAGTCGACTACGAGGTAAAGGCCAAGGATTACGTCAAGATGATTCGCTGAAACTTTTTATTGCAGTGGTCACGGGACTCTTAGTCAAGCGTCTGCTGTCCCAAGAATCAGAACGTTTGCTTCGAGAGCGAGAGCAGTTTAGCCTTTTGGTTTAGAGTGCACACAAAGCTAACTTCTTAATCATATTAGATGGTATTCATTGTATGTAAGGAGTGTACTGTATAATCATGAAGTAGCTAAGAAGAAATGTAAGTTTGATTTATTTAAACAATCCACTCACAGTGTGCATGCATTATCCGTTTTCCAATTAACTAATTTGTTTGCCGTTAATTGACGTACAATAGTAGTATTGCTCCATCAACTGATCGACCTTCTTTATAAAGTTGCGTCTGCGTAATCGCATCGTATCCTGATCCTTTAATCCCTCCAGCGCCTCCTAATGTGTCTAGCGTCTATTAAAACTGGGAGACGAGGTTGTAATTTACATTTAAGTCACACGATGCAATTCGGAACTGTCGATCAATTTTACCATACAAGCCCTACTGTCCTAACATACATCTCTTCATGGCCTATGCCAGTTGGCAAGTACAACCTGGGACTATGCGTCAGCACGACTCCCTTCTCATACCTTCAACCATGAAGCATACCAACTGCCATTCACATACCCTGCCATCCACTGCCAACTGCCAGCGACTTCCAGTAATCTTCAACTTATATCAACACGCCTCTCTTGAGATATCCATCTCGCACATCTTCCTTCTGAACGCTCATTACATTGGACAATCGTGCAAGACGCTTCTCATCGAGTGCTTTCGTAAATAAATCGGCAGGATTATCGTCGACCCCAGCATCTTTTTGTCAGAATCACCTTCTTTAAATTTACCTGCTCACGAACAAAGTGCCAGCGTAACTCGATATGTCTCGTACGACGGGAACAAGTTGAATTTGTCGCCATCATGTATGCACTCCGACTGTCAATCCCAATGTGCATCTCAACAGGAATAGTTGGTAATATTTCACTTACAATGTTTAGCTCTCCAATCGCTTCCACACACCTTTACATGCTGCCACATACTCAGCCTCGGCCGTTAACAAGGCTATGATCGGCTGTCGCTTTGACGACCATGATATTGCACCACCTGCAAGCAAGAATACAAAACCTCCAGTACTCTTTCGGTCTGCAGCATCTAAAGCCCAGTCACTATCACAGTAACCTTGTATACAATCTTTGGATGCTAAGTCTATTGCGCACGCTTGTACACTATTCCATAATCAAGTGTTCCAGCGAGATATCGAAGTACACAGTCCACACAACCAACGTGAAGTTTAGTCGGATTGGCCACAAATTGACTTAGCTGACCCACTGCATATGCCAAGTCGGGTCGCGAACATGTTGTCAAATACAGTAACATTCCCACTCTACCACGATAATCAGACGTCTAATTGATGTCATCCTTCTCTTCTGCACACATTAGGTTTTGCTTTGTCTCAAGCGGGTTTCCAACTGCATGTGCTTGTTCAAAGTGAAACTTCTGTAGAATCTCACGTGAGTACTTTCTTTGGCTTATCTTAATGGCATCTTGACTCGTTTGCACTTTGACACTTAGATACTCCGTGAGCTCACCTTGATCCTTGATACCGGACTGCAATGCTAGCTTTCCAAATAAGTCAACCTTGACTGCTTCGTTGTTTGTTGCGCATAAAATGTCGTCAACGTACACCAGCACCAGCACTATCGTTCCATCCGTGTCCTGACGATAGTATAGACACGGTTCCGTTGAGCATCTTTGATACTCATTTTCCATCATCCAATTGTGTAACTCATCATTCCACTCATGTCCAGCTTGACGTAAGCCATACGATGCCTTGCGCACCACATACATGTGTTCCTTACGTCTGCATGGAAATCCGTCAATTGATTTCACATACTGTGATATCTTTAAATTGCACTTGAATACGCGGTGTTAATATCACCACCGTATACCTTGAGATTCAGTTCCGCCGCTGATGCAAGCGTAATCCTGAAACTTGACATACGTGCTACAGGAGAGAAAGTCTCAACAAAGTCAATACCAGGCCGCTGCCAATTTCCCAAAGCAATTAAGCGTGCCTTAAAACGGATAACATATCCGTATTGATCCGTTTAAGTGCCCACACCCACATGGTTTTAATCGCTTTGGCTTCTGGTGGTATGTCAGCCGTCGGCATTTCTTCCAATACATTCTTAAGCTGCTTTGCATCTATTTCTTCACGCTGAGCTTCGTGCCTGAACTCTGCATATTTTGACCGTCCAGCGTCTCTGGTGCTTCGTGGCATTCTGACGTCACTCACACGAATAAATTGGCCAAGCTTGTCCAGCACTCTTGCGTGTGTGGTCAAAGCAACATAATCTTTGTACCTATTCGGCTTGTGTCGCTTCGCCGCCTCTCTCAGACTTGCACGTCGTTGACACATTGCTGTATTCTCATCATTTATGTGTGATGATACATCACCATTTGATGATACATCACTATACCGCTGCCTCTACTTTCCTCACTAGCAATCGGCTCACCCGATTTCTTGTTCAACAAATCTTGCAACGTGTCTTCGACACTAACGTCTGCTTCAAACGTTGAAACACTGACATAACTTGGTGTCACAAGAAATTCTAAATCATCACTCCTGATACCATTAAATTCCAAAACATCACTCCTGGTATCTACAAAATCCTGATCTTCGGCATCACCATCAAAATCAGTATCGGAGTCACCACTAACATCATCATCGTCGTGATACGCACTATCCATTTCATCACGACGGATGTCTCGGGCAGAACCACCGTAGTCACCGTCGTCACCGTCGACCATCCCATCCGTCGCCTCGGTGCCAAGAATATCATAAGTGGCATCGCCCGTGACGGATGCGTCGACACCGGACGCCTCGTTATCTGCAAAAACTGGAGAGAAAGTATCAGCAGCAACAGACGCTGGGGCAGATCGAGCGTCGCCGTCGTGGGGAGAAAAACGAAGGCGATCCAGGAGAGGCACATAGGTGGTGCACCGATTGCGATCACGGTAGACAATAGACTCATCAATGACTACGTCTGCAGCCCACTTGCGGGTATGTTCGTAAGGGAAATAAATTTGGTACCCCACCTGTTCGTCCCGGAGACCCAGTACAAACCCGATCGTCGCATTTTCCTTGGGTCGTGGTCGATCTGGACCCTTTGGCACGTGAACATACGCGAATGCCCCAAACACGCGAATATGATGAAGATCTGGTTTGACACCAAACATGCGTTCGTGCGGTGTGCAGTTCGCCGCCTTGTTGTAAACGCGATTTTTGAGGTATACAGCATATTCAAAAGCATCTGGCCATAACTGGGGTGAAAAACCAGAGTCTCGAAGCATCGTCTTCGTCATGTCACTTAGCGACTGGTGTTGTCTCTCCACGGGATTCATGTGAGAACTTTTTGGTCCAACCTGCACATGCTGAATTCCTCGTGCGTTATACCATGCATCGATATCGTGGTTTACAAACTCACCACCTTTGTCCGTCAGAATAATCTTCACCGGTAACGTGCGATGTCCTTCCATGATATGCCAACTACGATGCACAATCTTCTTGATGCTTCGTCCAGCTTGCCGCTCGGCCCAATTGACGTAGTTTTTCATCAACTCATTCACCGTTTCTGCGTCCTTCTTTGCCAGAAGATGTGCTGTCAAGTATCGCGAATAACCGTCCATAATAACGAGAATTGCCGTATACTTGGTGCCATTATTTCTCGATGGAAAAAGAAGATCAGCATACACAACTTGATTGAGACCTGTGATATCGTGCTCTTTCTTCTTGTTTCGACGTTGGTGCCGCTGTTTGCCAACATGACATGCGTCACACGAAGATGATTTCCACCCCGTCAGAATCATACCATGGACAAAGCCTTGATCAACCATGGTCTTCAAATACTGTTCACAGGTGTGTCCAAGACGCTGATGCCAAAGTTTCATAGTAGCCAGTTCATCTACCGCTGAATACTTTGCTTCTGCCTGAGGTAACGTTCCAACATTAAAAGAATAAACGACTGGATTTTCCGCATGATCTGAGTGATGCGGTCCCCACTTTCCGTGGATTCAGAGGTAGCATCGAGTTCAGCACTCGATATGATGAGAATCCCCACGTTCCATCATGATGTTCGGCTCGTATAAGCGGTTGGTCACGATAGTAGACCATAAAATCCGTGCTTGAAGTAGCCATGTCAACTTCGAATCCTTGTTCGACTGCCCTACCTGGAGAGAAAAACAGTGTTCCGCATTTGGAACATGCAACACGTGGTCCAAAAGAAACATTTCTCTATCCCATCAACTTTTGTAACAATTATAATGGTACCCATTCCAGTCACTTGTGCATGGAGCGCTGTTGATATACAGGAACTAAAGCAAGAGCTGGCGAACGGCTCGCTCTGACCACAGACCAACAAGACCAGTTGGCCGCGTGGGTCCGTGCTCACTCGACGGCTTTACTTGACCGAGTCGCCAGTTGGTGGGATAGGAACACATTGGTGTTGTCGTTTATTGACCCTGTCCCTAAACACTTACTGGGGTATTATGATATGCCGGAAGAAATTCAGAGGTTTTGGGCCACCTTCAAATGGAGTGTGAACTCATAAATTAGGGAACAGAGCGGCAACATGATGTCTAGGACCAACTATAACAGGATTGAGGACTGCACCCTTGGATACCTTTGCATCTTGCACACGGGGCCAGCGAAATTCATCATGCGGGTACCAATCCCTCCGGGTCAACCCGGCCCCCATTCGGACGCGAAACTCCGACGATGGGCAATAGTCCTCCTGTTATCATCCCCGGACTTACCCATCGGGACAGCATTGTACTCGACACCGCCAATGCACCTTCGACAGGCACCACCGAAACTGAAAGCTATCGCTGGAGGAATCTCGGCGAAGGTATAATCGTAGGCCACTTAGCGGAGATCGAACATTACCAAACCCGCCGGCACTTTGCATCAAACTGATGATGGGATACACTAGTAGGATTATTGCCGGATATTGGTTCAAGCAAAGATCATGGCTGTGACAGTGATGCACCTCCCTGTTTCTCTCTCTCGAAGTATCCAGTTTGCGAGAAGGACTGCTTGTGTATCGCAGAACTGAAGATGAATAATAGCTCGTGTTCATGTGTTTCGTCCTTGAGGAGTCGAGGTTTTTATCTCAGAAGAGATATGAGGCAAAAAAGGTCCAGCGAGATGGGCTTACAACTGTAGTCAATTCGTCGTGACCACCGCCTTCTGTTAGGAACAATGCTGGTACCGCCCAGTGGCACCATGAATCAGCGTCCGACCATACTGGCTGATATTGTTGTCGTATACACGTCACGGCAACGCGACGACCTTTCTGGCCGTGGTGGCTCTCGGGGTTATCTGGCTGTTTGTGTCGGTTTGCCGAACTTTTTATGAGCCGGCGAAACGGTTGTTTCTTCAGGGCCAATATTACGTGTTTGTTCGCGATAAATTTGGGCAAACTCCTAGATTAGCGGATTCGCATAGAAGACGATGCCCCTTGCATTTTGGCCCTTTCGGAGTCTTGGCAATCGTTAATCGTCCGCTGATCCTCGATGTCGTTTGCGGCAGTTTCCCAATGAATTTAATCGTAATCTCCCTTCAGGGCAATGACGCTCCGTATCTCCACATCGTAACTGTAACCCCGTTAAACGATGGTTGGAACATCATTCCGAAAATTTACTATTTTGCATATAATGTAATCTTGATACTTTTCTTTTAAAGAGGTATTGAGCATAAGCGTCAAGATACGGTATTCGGTAATACCGTATACTATCGATTAGGATTCGATAGTCGATATCGCTGCATCATACACAGATGTTTATACGATACGTCGTCCAATAGCAAAGTCTGCATATAATAATTAATATTATAGTAATTAATCTAGTGTAGGGGGGTACTTAGAGTAGGACTATTCATAAAATCTTAAAGCATAAATGAAATCAGTTCTCTTTTCGAGTTTAAGATCGCAAGTCATTCTAGGACTTGTTCTCTTGCGCACTTCGTGCGTTTGTTCCTAGAACCGTAAGCATAGCTTAAACTCTTGCACTCTGTGCGTTGATTCTTTGAACCTGAAGCTATTGCCTGCTGACTAAAAGTCTCTCCTACTTCTTTAGAACAGGGTGACTTTACGTCGTTTAATTAATTCCTTAGTACTAAGTGGTTTAAACTGTAAATTTATTTAGTTCTATAGAACTAAGAGGCTTTCAGCCTAAAATTCTTCCTCTGAGTAGAGAGCTGTGTAGCTCCGCTACACTTGGTAGCACTTGTAGTCACTCCTACACCTGAGTCTTTAAGTCTGACCCTCTGTGAGGATGGAGAATCAAAATCACCTTTCTGAGGCGCAAGGACTCGCACTAGATAAATTATCTGCGTTCGTTGGGCCCGATCAATCGAAGTTCTTATGGCCCAAGGCCCGGAGGTTTAAAATGCTCGCCTTGAGGCCTTTATGCGGTATAAAGCAACGCTACTCGGGCAGGTTTACGACCAGGCAGAGTCACTGCGCCAACGCAGTACATCCCGGTACCTGTGCCCGATGCAGAGCCAAAGGCTAGCTCACTCATTTTTAACGTTGAAACCTTTAAAGGGGAGGAGGGATAAACTCTTCTCCTCTGGATTCGAGTAGTGGAAATGGGAATGGATGCCGCCATGCTTGTTTCAGATAAACAACGAGTTGTACTTGCCATTTTTAAGCACGTTGGAAGAGCTAGAAAGTAGTCATTAACGAGAGATAATATATAAACGCCGCATTTCCCACGTGGGTATGCTTGAAAGCAATTTACTTGCGTGTTTGCACCGCCTAACCAGGCTTATATAATGTGCCCTCACGCTTCTTAGCTACCCGACAGTGGTAAGAATAAACTATCGGAGTATGTACAAGAGTTGAGAGCTCTCATTGCTTCTATGCAGCCGGACCCTCTTGTGGTGGAGTGGGATTCGCAAAATTGCTGATGCGATTTCGACTCTCCACTGGCGCTAGGACGAACCACTAACGAAGGGGTTACCCAATTCCGTGTGTAAAGCCTTCCTCACCTTGTGTATCCGTCGATTGGGCGGGTTGCACTCTTCTAGGTGGACTTGAGTCGATGTTGATCCTAATTGAGTAAGGGATGGGGGTTTGGTGATATTGTGGAAATCTCCAAAAGATTGAACGATTACTTGGTGTGATCTTCCCAATCGATCACGGTTATCCAATAAAACGAAGCTTATATCCTGACCACTTGAGCAGAACCTTCTGACCACTTGATCCGTCCTGCACTTGCTTGCCTGCCCTTAATTGTTATATCTGCGTCCAATCGCAGTTGAGTTGTGTTGAGAGTTCTTGCAATCCCTGGCCAAACAATACAGGGATATGACTTGCGTAGTGCGTTGGCTTCCTCGAGACGTCGGGTGGCCAAAGAATCCAGCACGAAAGAGAACTCGACACGTGTATTAGACGTAAAATCGAACTCTGTTTAATAATAACCAATCAAATACCAAAACCTACAATTTTGTCCATCTGCAGTCCAGGATTCATTATCATATGTCGTTCCTTCAGAAAAAATCAGATCTCGATATGTGGTCCACTCCAGATACCTTCGCCATCCCCATCCACTCGCGATCTTGCCTTATTCTTGGATCGCGATCTGAATCAGATCGCGTATCATTTCAGTATCGCGGTCGATCCATAATGTGTGATTGTTGTTAACTGGATCGTGATTGGCTCTGGGTTGCGGTTCTAAGTCGGATCGCCATTCTCAATCGGATTGCGGTTCTGACTGGATCGCGTATATGAGTTGGATCGCGGTTCTGAGTCGGATCGCGTTTTTTGAGTCGAATAGCATTTTCTGCACCATGGATCGCGATCGATCCTCGATGTGTGGTCCACATAACTTGTATCGCGATCTAAAAATTACGAAAATTTGTACACTCGATCCTCCACACTATGGAAGAGGAAATCCAAGTATAATTTTATGGAAGGACTTCGTACTGGGGTCGCCATGACAGAAGTTTTTCGTGTCCAGCCTTCGACGTGCGAAGAGGCAGTAAGCAAAGCGTTTAACGCTGAGTTCAATATAAAATCTGCTCGCTATGGTCTAACATGGTACAATTCTAATGCCTTTAATAGGGCCGAGCCGATGAACCTCATCCATGCTGAAGGGGAAAAAGCTGAGCTTCCAGCTGCAGAACAGCAAAGAAACATCCGTAGATGTTCCATGGTTGGAAGCACTAGGCATTTCCGCGCTAGCTGTCCGTTGCGAGAGCAACGTCAGAATCGGCAGAGCCGTAACCCTTCTCCTAGCCTAAATGCGAACACGGCAGGGAAAACGTCACTTCTTAGTAGGCGTGGGCGCCCTAATGGAAAACAACCAAGTTCTGTAGAACCTCTAGGAGATAGAGGTGAACAGGGCTTAGCCCCAGGTGGTTCCGTGGGAGCATGAGTACAAGCCAGGTTTTTTGGTTGTGTCGGCAACCATTACAAGCTTTAGAAAGCCATGGTCAATTTTCATTACTTAGGGGCGTCGGGTAATTATGTCCGACGTCGTTTTACTAAAGAGAGTCAGCCGTATGCTGAGGCGCTAGAAGCGCAAGAGGGTTACAATTTATTCGTTTGTTTCACGACGGGTATCGTGTCACCGTTCCTAAAGTTCCATGGAGCTTAGGTGTAAAGGTTTTAGACTTTGATAGCGTTGAACGCTGTCTTGTCCTAGATTGAGCTCGAGATACGATATCATTCTCGACATTGCCTGGCTGGAACGCCACGAGCCATGGATCAATTGAAGATCCAAAACCTTAGGTGACACGCGCAATATTCATATCGAAGCTTTGTAGAGTCATGAACTTACCTTCGCTAGTAATCGCTATTAACGCGAGCCATTAATTGAGTCAGCTAGTGTGA